AAGCTAAAATGTTTTGACTGCCGTGCTGGAAGAGGATTTTGTAAGAGGTGGACCAGCTTTCGACAACGTAGTTTCCTTTGTGGGTAATGAAAGGCTTGTAGGCGCTTCAGAGCAGACTGCGCTTCCCACCAATGCTGAATGTACAAAGTATTAGTTTGCCTTATTATTGCTGCATGATGTGCTGTAAATTTCCCGGACATGAATCAGGCCAAAGAGAGCAGAAAAATGTACGTAGTGTTCCAGTGTACTCCTGCGCAATCACAGTGGTAACTGCACTTGGCTGTAGCACATTTGAGTTTTCCTTTTACTGTTTACAGCTTTACTGAGACAGAAGTAAACAAACTAGTCCTGTTCTTCCAATCTTCTGTTATTTGTCATCTCAGACCTAAAAAGGAAAAATAGCTCTTCACATAAGCCAGCTTTTAAAGATACGTATGTTTTTTGTTAAGACAAATTGCTTTCTTTTGCAGAAAAATGATTCTTCCCTTTCTTTGTGTGCGTGTGCTGAGCTTACTATCCCTTCACGTCTCATTCCATAATGATTTCTGATCTTTATGTTTTTCAAATAGAACCTCAAACATAGAAATACAAATCATTTCTCCTTTTTTATTTTCCATGTGTGGCCTTGTACAGCTCGAGATGTTGCTGTGCAGAAGATTGAGACAATTATAAAAGAACAGTTTGCCGTTGAAATGAAGAGTAAAGAACACGAAATTGAAGTTATAGATCAGGTATAAAAGTATTGTTCATGAAACTACATAATGTCCTGGTGTATTGGGGTTTGAGGGGATTGCTATAGTGGTTATCCTTTACTATATGTTACCTCCTCTTTTTGTTCGTAGCGCCTGATTGAAGCAAGAAGGATGATGGATAAGCTGCGTGCCTGTATTGTGGCTAACTATTACGCATCTGCTGGTCTCCTTAAAGCTGGAGAGGTAAAAATTACTTTGGGAATAATAAGACTTTAGGGAATATCTGCAAAGGAAGACGTGTAGTTCACTTGCTTATTCAGCTGATGTTTGATTTTGAGATGTGATTTTCTGAAATGGTGGAGTTTGAACTGCGAATGGGGTGGCAGTGGGAGAGGAGACCTGTGCATCACCAGCTGGGCCTCAGGTCCTCGGCAAAGATGAGCCTTCAAGGAGTGGTTGAGAAGTCACGCAGCAGCTGTTGGTTCTGGTTTCTGAAATACTTTGTATTTTTTTTCATCAGCTCTTGCACGAGAGTGCCTTGCTTCTCACACACTGCACAGTTTGTCCTTGCAAAGCCCTGAAAAGTGGGGAACATGTTTTCCTATTTCACAGGAGAAGAGCGGAGGGAGGTGGGTTTTGGAACTTCTCAGGAGGAAAAAAAAAATAAAAATCAAGATTTCTTGAGGCTTGGGCAGTGCCATGAAACCATCCTCCCTTTACCCTGGCAGCCAGTCTGTTAACGGTTTGGTGAACAGACTGATGGTAGCAGTAAAGGTGGAGGTAAATCAAGGCGATATCACAAAGAGATTAAAAATTCACAAGGAAATTAAAAAAAAAAACCAACAAAGAACCAACCAAACAAAACCCAGCCCAACCCCTATTAGTTAAACTCCAGTTCTGAGCACTCTGTCCTTACTGGGCTGGTAATCGCAGGGTGTTTGTGACTCATGGAGACTCCCCATTGACAGGTAGTTCACTACCAGTGTAGGTTATTTAGTTACCATCTTTTCAGTTGAGGGAGTTGATTTAATTTCCAGTAAAGATCTCAGCTGGGTTTTGAAAGCTGTAGGTGGGTGCTGCAAACCTTGGTTTTACTCTAGTCCGATGAGAATTTCTCTTCCAAGCAGTGGCTCGCACTGCTACTCCTGGTTTTCCTATTGTGGTTTCCAGAAGACTTGAAGTGGGGTAAAACCAAAAAGGTCCAGTTTAGTTTTCCTTTGCTGAACTTGAATTGAGCAACTGGAGTTGAAAAAGGTTATAGTAGTACTGGGAGGCTTGGAGATCTCTCTTCCCCCCTTGGTTTTTGTGTAGGCAGCTGAAGAATGCAAGCTGATCTTTGAAGGTGCTTTTGTCAATGTCATCATGTGACAGCAAAGAGCTGTGCTATCCCCTTGTTTGTTCTGCCATGTAGGGTGTTTGGTTTCTTCATTGCCGATTTTCGCACTTGCCAGAAATATCAACTTTGTAATTGTTTCAAAGTATTCAGAAAACTTACTGATACATCCTTGCTTTGTTTAGTTTTCCTGTAGTTTCTTCGAGCTTATGGCTAGTGTAGCTGTGTTTTTAATTTTTTCTGAAAGTCCCGATTTGCATGCAGGTTAAATCGGTTCTTTTTTTGTTTTGAAATTGTTACTAGTTTCAGTTTTCTTTGTTGTCGGTTTTTAATGCGTGGTTAATGTATGTTTGACTTGGCAGTGAAGGATTATCTTGTTTCTGCTTCTGGTAGAATGGGAGTCTTTGCAGTTTAATTCAGAATTTCTAGGAAGATGATTTGCCAATTCCTAACCTGATCTCTGGAGAAACAGTTCTCCAACCCGGTGCTGATAGATTTTGAGGCTTCTGGTTCCATATGATTACAGTTCTATTACATTTTCCCACAAATTAGTAGACAAGGTGTTGGTTGTTTTGCTTGACTAGGGGTAAAAAAAAAAAAAAAAAGAGATTCTTGGTGGTGGTTTGGTTTGGGTTTTAGGTTGGTGTTGGGTTTTTTTTTTTGTCATGTTGTGTGTGTGTCCCTGCCATTGGATATATGGATATAACTCTCTTGAGAGGTGGTAGTTGTTTGTCTGTTGTACCTAATGGACAATTGGAAAGAAACCTCTCAAATGAACCTTTAAAGTCCAAGGTGGGACAATGTTTAACTCCACTCCTGCTAGCACCTCTCAAGGGCAGTTCTGTTGCTCCATAGTGGTGCTGGTGTCTGTCCCCATGCCACACCCTCTATCACGTTGACAGAATTTTGGATCGGGGAATTTACATGGATTAAAAATAACCCTGCAAAGGAAAGAAAAAACCAAAACCAACAAAAATGAATGAACCAAACAAAAAAAAAAAATCCCAAATCAGTTTATTAATTTGTTTGTGACCTGCCCGTTCTCCATGAATAATTGTGCCAGCCTGGCTGATCTGGGTGGCTCAGGCAGGGAAGAAGGAAGCTGGGAGTCTGTGGCTTCAGAGCTGGACTGAGCCTCTGCTGGCACTCCGCTGGCTGGCAGAGCGGTGTTTCTGCTGACTTGACTCATCATCAAACCAAGGTGACAGGGAAGACTGGTGGCTGGGAGAAGTGGCCGAGGGACACTTGCTTTGAGTGATAGATGTTTTCCTTGTCACTTCCGAGGTTAAAAACAAATGCAGGAGGAAAAAAAAGTAGGGGCCTTTGTCACAGTAATGAAAAAAACGAAAGAGATTTAAGCACTCCCCTGCCCCATCGTCATCGGTGCAGGTTTGGGAGGATCTAAGATTAGCTCTAAGATGTCAATTCTGAGGAAGGTTTGCAAGCATGCCTAAGCACATTATTCATTATCCTCTATTAAGCTTTGGGAGCAGACAGGCTACTAATATATGTAGCTTGCCTTGTAGGCATTGACATGACTACCAGTGAGTATCAGAACTAAAGAGCCTCATGCATTTACATAGCCTGCTTGCCTGCAGGAATCGGCCAGCTGGGGCCTTTCTGTGTATGGCAGAAGACCATAGGTGTCTGCACAGGAAGGGGAGACATTATTTTCAGAGGGACATTATAGGTATTTGAGTAGGCTGCAGTCCTCCACTCCAAAACCAGGTGGGTTTCTGAGATCAAAAGGTCTAAAGGAACAGATTCAATTTGGGGTGCTGTTTCTGTAGAACTGTTTTAAGTTTTTATCTTTTGCAGCATATGTTTTTGCTGCAGGGCAGCTGATTAAATATTTGCTCTTTCTTCATATATTAACTTTTTCTTTTCTGGCACAGCTTCATTTTTATCTGGGCTGCAGGGAAAATAGTGACCAGATCTGCCTGACCTCTTTGTTGCAGGGGACCAGGTCATGTGATGCGACAATTCTTAATCACCCTTCAATCAAGAAATTCCTGGAATCACCCTCTAGATCGTCATCTCCAGCTAACCAGGGCTCAGACACTCCATCTGCCAACCACTCCGAGAGTGACTCTCTCTCTCAGCACAATGACTTTCTCCTGGACAAAGACAATGGCAACTTGGATGCAGATGAGCGGCTGACAAACAGCCTGGACCAGAGACAGAGCAGAAGTACTGGCCGGGTAAAGTAAAACTTGAGTGGTGGTCAATTTGTTGTGTGTGTGTGCTCTGTATGGACTCAGTGCTGGCACCAGGCGCTCTTCGTGTTTTCACCCACCTTACTGAAGATCTGTTTCTTACCCTCTCCAACTGCTTGCTCCCACTCTCTCAGCCTGACGTTGCTGTAAGGCTAACTGAAGTGTATGTAACTTGGATAGCTCCTCTTAACTCAGTCTTGCCCAACAGAGAGGTCAGCTAGGCAGTGATGACAGCACTCATGTTAGGACAGCTGTCTGCAGCTGTCTCAGTTCATAGCCTCTGGGGAAGGAGGTGTTTCACAGCTTGAGCAAAGGGTTTTGCCGTACACATGGAAGTCAGGTCAGGAGGGATAGAGCCTGGAGAGAAAAGCAGCATGTGTCATTCCCAGCAGTGGTTTTGAAAAGTAATGCTGCTGCCTGGCCCTGGGTGCCCATAGGCACTGCATAGCTTCAAGTGGTTGAACCACTGGAGTTTGGGATTTAGCTTCCACAGCAGCCTGGGGTGAAAACACAATGACACCGGTAGATTAGCTCACCCTGGCAGCATGAGCCAGTAGACACTAGGTGCAGAGTTCGAGTTGTTTTTCACTTGGTGGCGCTGCTTGCTGTTGTGTTAGTATCACTGTTTGCTTAATGGACCAGACTGACCCAGGTTAAAAATACCTTCTTTCATTATTCCTCCATACTTTTTTTCTGGGTAATTTTTGACCTGGATCCATTCCTTTATGGCCTGCCATGCAGCTACAGGAATGCTTCACCTGTTGGCTGCAGTTAGCTCCACTGGGGAGGCTCTATCACTGGCTGAAATGTGTGTTACTGCGTGAGGTGAAACTCTTCAGTTTCCTTGCAGTTCCTTTAAGCTGCCAGGCCTGCCACAGGAGTACAGCCTCTAACCCAAACCAGGGATGGGTATATCTCATTGCATATGACTGCATTCTGCAGCTGAACAAGTTGCAGTAGTAGGTGGCACAAAGAGCAATGATTCTGCCTCTGTTGAGCAGCGTGACACCCTTGATAACAGGGCTGCAACCCTGCCTAGGGTCCATAGCAGAAGGCAGATATACAATATATAATGTGGACCCACCTATATCATAAACCACCAGACCAGTATAACTTGTTTCTGCACTGGGAGCATTGACGGAGAAGTTGTATTGCTGGGGAGTAGCATGTTGGTACATCTTTGACCAACACAACCTGTGGCCCAGAGGTGGCTGAGGGAGTGGTGAGGAGCAGGAGCCATCCCATCCTTCTGTGGCTCCTTGCTCCAGTTTGGGGCATCACTGACTTAACAGAGGAGATGTAGTGGTTCCTGGTGAATCCGCTGCTCCCCGCACTGACCCTTATCTGACTAGTGCTCAGTGGAATACGCTCCAGGAAGCTGCAGCACAAACTCGGTTGTTCTCGAGAGAGTGGCAGTCCCTTATTCTCTACACAGCCACTTCATCAAACAGAATCGTAGAAAAACCTCTCATTCCCATGCAAATGACAGTGCAGCCTGCGTTGGCACGGTGGGTGGTCATGTCATCATTTTACCAGGGAGTCCTGGCCACTGCTTGATAGCTGAGGTTGTGTTATAAGGTTGCTTAGGCTGGATTTATTATGCCCAAGTATTGCAGTGGATTTGTAGGCTTATCTAGATGTCAGTGATGTGGCTGACTACTATCCCTGTTGAGTTGGAGCTGAATTCTTGCCTCGAGCCCAGCATGAAGCAATGCTGGAGTCCCTCAAAGCAGCAGAGGCTGGGAGTGAGAGAGATTTAGATTTTCAGATAGCAATTCAAGTATTTTTAGGTATGATTCATTATTGGTCTCTCATTTAACTATGCAGGTTTAGTTTTTTTTAACACCACCTTACTTTTGTAATGCCAAACAAAATTATGTTTAAGAGGAATGTTTGGTTTTTGTTTTCCTTTTTTTTTTTTTTTTTTTCTTCCCCTACCCTCAGGACAGTTCGGGTGTTTCAAGCTCTCAAAAACCAGGACCACGAAATGCCGGACTGTCAAGTGATGAAACTTCACGGCTTTATGTGAAGAAAACGATTGTGGTTGGCAACGTCTCCAAGTTAGTAACCAGAGTCTGAGGAATGGCCATTTATTTCAGGATTAAATGGAATACGAAGTTAAAATTAGGAGACAAATAAAATTGCTAGGCTGTCACAATATGAGGTATTGCCCTTGAATAATCACTGTACTCAAGACTACCTTCCTCAAGTGTCTGCATGAGTGTTTTTTGGTAGGAGGAACAGGTGTTTTAGTAGTTGTTTGTTTATATATATATATATATATATAT